TTGAACTGAGAACCTGGGGATAATCTGGTTCCAATCAGGAGCAGAAGCTGAGACATGGTCACAGCAGGCTAGGCTCCCATAAAATAAAGATAGAAGAGCTTAGAAATGGAGAATAGAACATTGGAAAAATACTATTTGAGAGAGGATTAAAACAAACAAAAAAAGATGGCAGGCAAAATAAATTCTATGATAGAGAAATCAGATTGAGAAAGAGTATCTAAATAGAAAGCCAGTACTTTCACTTGTACTCTTTTAAGTCTGAAAGATGAGTAGTTTCATTTTGATTTCCCTCACTCTTTTTTAATTTTAGGTTTACATTCTCTACCAGAGTCATATACTTTTCTTTTCCTGGGTATTTGATGTTCCAATTAAGTAAGGTGACTCAATACTCTTCTACCATATTATTGCTTTTATTGATAAGAACAAACCTGGTCAAAAAAAAAAAAAAAAGAACAAACCTGGTCTATTGGGCAATCTTTAATGCTGTTCTTTATTATTATTATTACATCTTATGGCAGTGATTTTTAGAAGCAATCTGAGGCTGAGTCTGTGGTCCAAGTATCTGATAAGCAGCTCTACATTCTTAAAACAGATATTCTATTTGTTTTAAAAATGTATTTGTCCAATCATATAAGCACCCACAATTAGGTGAAATATTTAATGTATACATAAAATTTCTACATTTGCTCACATTCTAAGAAAACAAAAAACATTGGCATGCATACCAAAAAAGACATTTCCTTGGGATTTTTTTTTTTCTTTTCAAAATCCTTGCAAGGGTTTTTTCTTTTCAAAATCTTGCAAGAGGTTGATTGGGAACTAAAAAGGGGAAAATAGCTAGAAAATTGCCTAAATTCAAGGATCCAAAGCCAATGGACTCTAGTTAAATATGTTGACCTTGGGTCCTAAACTATTGAGTCCATCTACCACGTGGGTCCATTTTGGAGACAAATAAGCACAAAATATAAAAATGGAAGATGCAAAAGGAGAGAAGGTATGGGGACAGTGAGGCAAGACTTAATTTCACTAAGCAGAAAATAAAGGTTTGGAGCAGATAAATGCTCTTACCTTTTTAAGATAGCACTCCCTTTTCCTTATCTCGACGATTATAGTCTAGTGTGATCTATAATTATTTGTATAACATCCTTCTTTTTACCTTATAGGAAAGCCACAGTGTACATATTTAGAGTTAAGTATTTAATTATGGCATTAAATCTCTACTAGCAAACCTTTTCCCAGGAAATGATACCAATCCTAAAGAGTTGCAATTATATTTAGTAATACAAGAGATTGAATGTGCTGGAAAACTTATAACTTATCCTGATTCCTCTCTTTCCCTTAGACATTTGATCATTCATTTACTCGATTCATCCATCAAATACTCAGAATGTTCACTGTGTGCTAAGGCAGTGTATTTTAGAGACTAGGGATAGACTAGGCAAGAATATTTTATGATTTTTATACTCTTACATTTAATTGTATGATACATCCCAAATGTATATTCTTCTACCCCTGGCCCATTTCATTGCTATCAACTTAGTCCAGGCCACCATCATTGCACTGTTGACTTATCTCAACAACTACATATCTGGTCTACTACAGCTTCCTAATACCCATTTTCCAAATAGTGAAGTAATCTTTTTAAAGCTCTAGGAGGGGATCTGAGTGGAACAAATTAGAGAGGGAGACAGATCGTGGAAGACTCCTAACTCTGGGAAACAAATAAAGGGTTGCGGAAGGGGAGGTAGATGGGGGGATGGGGTAACTAGGTGATGGGCACAAAGGAGGGCAATTGATGGGATAAGCCCTGGGTGTTATACTATAAGTTGTCAAATTGAATATAATTTTTTTAAAATGTAAAACAAAACAAAACCTTAAGGCACACCATAACACGACCCAGCTTCAAAAATCATCCCATTGCATTTAGAACAAAATCCAAACACCTTATGGGTTCCACTATTAGCCACATAAGCCAGCTGCTACCCACTTCTCCAATCCCTTTCCTGAGCTTTCCCTGTCCACTTTGTTCCAGCCACACTGGATTTCTTTCTGTTGCCTGAACTACAAAACTTATACTAGTCCTAGAGCTGTTGCATTTTATTTTCTCTCTGTCTGGGGCACTTTGCCAGCTATTGTTCACTTGTGTAGGCTCCTTTGTGCTATTTGGCTCTCAGATCACCTTCTCAGGGAGGTCCTCCCCAAACAGTCATCTAAATCAAGGTCCTTCCTCCAACACCCCATTATTATATACTCCTACTTTATTTTCTGTATAGAACTTATTCACTACCAGAAATCATCTTGTTCTTGCATTTACCTAATTGTCTCCCTACCCTACCATAACATATATATATACCAGATTGTGAATTCTATGTAAGAGAGCTGTTGTCTCTGTTGTTATTCACTAACATATCTCCAAATGCCAATTGTGCCAGGAAGACAGTAGATTCTCAGTAAATATTTGTTAAACATTCATTATTTGGTCAAAAAATTTTTTTGATTTTTTTATAAGTTTATTTTTTATTGGTGTTCAATTTGCCAACATATAGAATAACACTCAGTGCTCATCCCCTCAAGTGCCCCCCTCAGTGCCCATCACCCAGTCACCTTCACCCCCCCGCCCACCACCCCTTCCACTACCCCTAGTTTGTTTCCCAGAGTTAAGAGTCTCTCATGTTCTGTCTCCCTTTCTGATATTTCCCACTCATTTTTTTCTCCTTTCCCCTTTATTCCCTTTCACTACTTTTTATATTCCCCAAATGAATGAGACCATATAATGTTTGTCCTTCTCCGACTGACTTATTTCACTCAGCATAATACCCTCCAGTTCCATCCATGTCGAAGCAAATGGTGGGTATTTGTTGTTTCTAATGGCTGAGTAGTATTCCATTATACACATCTTGTTCTTATCCCCTTCACCTATCCCATCAAATAAGCACAATGAGCTACTTTTGGAATTGGATTATTAAAAACTCAATAAGTAAATTATACTTATTAAATTCTGAGTATCTAGATGGGCCATGAGTAAAAAATATATATTTTTAGCTAGTTAAAAAAAGAGGACACAAACTAGAAATGAAAAAGGGGGACATTACTAGAGATTAATTGGACACCAAAATGATAAGAAAATATTATGAACAACTCTATGCCCACAAATTTGATAACCTAGCTGAAATGGACCAGTCCCTTAAAAGACACATATATCATAACTAACATGAGAAGAAATAGATTATATGAATAGGTCTATCTCTATTTTAAAAATTGGAACATTGATAACCTTCCAAAACAGAAAGCACTAGACCCCAATGGATTCATTGGTGAAATCTACCAAACATTTAAGGAAGAAATTATACCAATTCTCTACAATTTCTTTCAGAAAACAAAAGCAGAGAAAGTACTTCCTGACTTATTCTATGAGGCCAGAATTATTCTAATACCAAAACCAAATACATTACAAAAGTTGAAAACTATAGACCAACATGTCTCATGAACACAGACATAAAAGTCTTCAACAAAATATTAGCAAATTGAATCCAACAATGTATAAAAATAATTATATACCACAATTAATGGGATTTATTTCAGGTTTGTGAGGCTAATTCAATATCCAAAAATTAATTAATGTAATCCAGCACATCAACAGACTAAAGAGGAAGGAAAAAAACAAACAAACATGATCCTATCAATGGGAATACAGGAAAAAAAACTTGAAAAATCTACAGCCCATTTATTTTTAAAAAAAAATTGAGTGAATAGGAATAGAAGAGAATATTCTCAACTTGATACAAAAGATCTACAAAAACCTACAGCCAACTTCATAAATCGTGAGCAACTTGAAGCTTTCCCACTAAAATCAGTAACAAGGCAAGGATGTCCCCTCTCACCACTCCTTTTCAACACTATACTGAAAATTCTAGCTAATGCAACAAGAAAAGGAAATAAAAGATATACAGATTGGGAAGGAAGAAATAAATCTTTGTTTGCAAATTACATTATATGACATTATGAAAAGGCAAAACTACAAAGACACTAAAAAGGTCAGTGATGGCCAATAGGGGAAACAGAAGGGAGGGCTGAATAAGTGGATTACAGAGGATTTTTATGGCAGTGAAAATACTTTATAGGATACCATAATGATGGATACATGTCATTTGGCATTTGTTCAAAACCATAGAGTACACAACCAAGAGGGAACCCTAATGTAAACTATGAATTTTGACTGATAATGATGGGTCAATGTAGGTTCATCAGTTATAACAACATTCTACTCTGGTAGAATAAATGCTACAAGTGGAGAAGACTATGCATGTTTAGGGGACAGATGGGAAATCTCTGAACCTTCTGCTCAATTTTGCTCTGAACCTAAAATTGCTTTAAGAAAGATAGAAGTCTACTAAAAAAATATTTTTCAATTTTATGCTTACTATAGTTGTGTAGTTTGAGGAAGATAGGACCTTATTTGCTTTAGCTTTAATTAGGAAAGCATAACATTGCAAGGAGAGAAATTAGAAAGTAACAATAAAAGGATAGTGCAAGAATAGATGTCAAAGGCTTAAGATCTTATCCTAATGAGGAGGGTCTCCCTGGAAAATTAACCTTTGAACTGTCCTTTCTAGCTGCAAATTCAGACATGTGTTGATATCTTTACAGTTCCTTGCTCTTGATGAATAGAGAGACATGTATTCATGTATCCAGAATAGTCAAAAAGAGCCAGAAATATAATTATAGAGATAAGACAATGAATCTGATACCATGATGTTAGAAGCATTTCAAAGAATTGCACAGGTTTCTTCCCGGAGCAAATAGTGTAAATTGCAGGTCTCTGTTCTTGAGAAGACTTGTTGATCAGGGGAATAACGTTATAGTTCTCTAAATTATGTCATTGACCTTTTGTTATTGACCTTTTATCAATCCCACTCAGATAGTCAAAAACATATTAACTTTGAAATTTTTAAAAAATATTTTCTGTGTGTGTTTAAGCTTTTATTTTAATTCCAGTTAGCAAAAATATGGAACGCTTTACGAATTTGTGTGTCATCACTGTGCAGGGACTATGCTAATCTTCTCTGTATCATTTCGATCTGTATGTGCTGCTGAAGTAAGGACTCATTTTGAAATTTAAAAGCACTCTTCTAAAACTATGCTTATTTACAGAAGAAATCAAAAGCTGAATTACTCTTAAAACTTACTGTTTGCAAATGGCCAATAATGAAAGTACTACATTATACAAACTACAAGTTCTAGTCAGAAGTACACAGAACCTGCATGTATTTACTAGGAAAAAGATAGGAAAGTGAATCAACTAGGCAATTAACTTAAGGAGCTAGCAAAGATCAAACAAAATAAATCTAAATAAAATAAAAGAAAGAATTCATAAAGATAAAGCAGAATCTTACTAAGTGGATAATAAAAATAATATGCAATCAATAATAGCAGACTGTATTTTAGAGTACAAAAGCAAATAAACTTCAGGCAAATTCAATTCTGATCACACAAGTAAGAAAAAAATGAAACAAATATTAGAAAGGAAACGCTAAAATGGTCATTACATAAAGCTAAGATAACTTATCTAGAAACAAAACAACTTCCAACTATAAGGTAGGGTGACTACTATAAGACAAACATGAAAAAAAAAGCCTTTTATTTTCACATCCACAATAATAGTGATAAAATATAATAGAATTAAAAGATTTCATTCACAAATGCAAGAAAAATTATAAAAGGTCTAAGAACAAACTTAATAATATACATGCTACACTTGTAAGAATAAAATCTACTTAAAATAATACTTAGTACTTAAAATTGTAAAATGACCTGAGTGGAAAAATATACCATGTTCATAGATAAAGTGACTCAGTGGTTTAAAGATAGCAGTTCTCACCAAACAAATCTAAACAAATTCAAGAAAATTTTAATCAAAATCCAAATGTGACTTTTTAAAATTAAACTTGAAAATCAAATCTGAAAATTTACCTAGAAGATAGAGCCAAAGAGAGAAATGTTTTCCTGAATAATGAAGTATGCTATAAATGAAGAATCTAACTACTATACTGACAAAGTAATGTCAAGGAGAAAAATGTTCTACTGAATAAAAAAGTGTGCTATAAAGGTAGAATCTAACTATTATACTGAGAAAGTAGAAGATAAAACATCAGTGAAAGACTATAGAGATTGCAGAAATAAGCCTATATGTATGAATTTTGATACTACAAGGTGATGATACAAGTCATTGGAGAAAGAATATGTTTAATGTCATCAGGCAATTAATATTCACTTAAAATTAAGTTGGATGCTTATAATCATAAATAAAATGAACTAGTTATATTGCCCAAATTTGCAGGTAAGCTAATCTGCATTATTTCATGACATCCTCTAGGGTCTGTTAGCCACTTGGCACAGAGCAGACGAAGCAGGCAGATCATCTATGCTTGAGAACAATGCCATTGAAGTCAACAATTATAGATTCAAGATTTTTCCAATAGTAAATATTTACTCCTATTTTGAGATTCCTTCTCAAATTATAGTTCAAAAAGTAGAATCACTGGGAAATTTTCTAGGGACTAAATTAAGTAATAGAGATACAAAGACCAAGATCAGTCCTCACCTTGATAGGCATGCTATGGAAGCCCTCCAGTCTCTCCTTTGCTTCCTATGTCCACTGCCACCCCAGCTACTACAAAAGTTTCCTAACTCTTCTGATTTTCTGTGTCCCATTATATGCTTCTACCCACATTCTAGAGCTGACATAATTTTTCTAAAGCATAGAATCTCAGAGATTTGTCCAGCCTGACTGTTGCTGGCTTTTCATGACTTTAAAACAAATTGTGATTAATAATAATAATAATAATAATAATAATAATATACCATAAATTATGTGACTACCTTGATTAGAAACAGTCATCCATTATCTACTGCAATAAACTAATGACTAGCTCAGTATTCAACATCATCCCCCAGATTTCTTTTTCATCCCTCTTTGCCGTGGCTCCCCTCTCTATGCACAGGTCACTTAGATCACAAACTACTTAAATATGATCTTCCATATTTTGAGTTCCTACTTTCCTTTACATCCCTTGAGTACCTTCTATCTCCCTGTGGCACTTACTTTACTCTGCTTTCTTTTTGTTAAATGAGTCTCATTCCTCCCACTCTCCCCATTATTATGTTAAAATTTTCTAGTCCAGAAGTTGTATTTTGTTCATCTGTGTCTTCCTGTTAGGGCAGAGTACATGAGTACATGTTAGGTACTCAAAAAAATAAGGCTAAATTGAATGGACTTCAGTATTCAACTTTTTTTTAAATCTTCTTTCTCCCTAAAGAAACATGCTTAATTCCTACAGCAGCATCTAAATTAGCTAGCTAAAATAATACAGCATCCATCCTTTTGCAATCAGATTATGTACAACTTTTGGTAATATTTGCTAACCCTTAAAATCTGGCTCATTTATGTCACATTCTTAAGGTGTCATGCATATTCCAGTAGGCTCATTTCTTCATTAACAATTCTTTTTATTCAACTTGATTCCCAGATTAATTCTGACTAGATTTGTACTTGATCATTTATCTACATCGAGTATAAGTCTTATTAGCATCCAGGACATTCACGATGTAAGTATCAGTAAAATCGTCTCCACATTGTCAGCATGATGTAAATAGAGACAGGCATGTGAGTCATTATGACATAGACATAAGGAGGCTAATAAAGGACATAAAGGACATGTCCTAAAGGAGGCTAAATAACCTCTCACGGAAGAAGGAAATAATTCAGGGTAAAATTGAGTTGAGACTAACCCCATCACCTCTTTTCCCACTATGCTTTGAGGAAAGACTCAGTGAAGAGTCTGGATAGCTCTGGAACTCCCAATGTGGAAAGGCAATGGGATGCAATTAACACCCTGCATTTTTTTTATTAGCTCACACCACAGGGAAGAACAAAGGCTATTTCAATTCAGTATAAAATTCTAGCAACCACAATTTTAATTGCATAACTGCAAAACATTTCTTTCATTGTCGAAATAAAAAAGAAGGCTGTAATGCATGCTGCCTGCTTGTTTCAAGACTCGGTTATTAACCTTTAAGAATCTTTTCTAGGAGAAAAGCCTCTTTCTCCAGCAAATGCATCTTGAGATTGAGATTTAACCTAAAATCCTTACTCCTGTCTTGGACCATGTCGACACTTCATTCCCTGTCATAAAAGCATCCTGAACAGTATTTCAGACACAGGAATGTCAAGGCTTTTCTTTTTTAATTGGCAGCTAAAGAATAATTTTTAGCAGTCACAGAAATGAAAAGCTAGCTTATTCTCTAACACACAAACACATACATGTAAAAAAATGCATAATACACAGTCTGATTACTCAACAGCAAATCATCACAAACACAAGAAAAGACCTGGTTGCTGTTTCCATAGCAATGACTTTATGTGGTTTAACTCTTCTGGGAATTTAACCAAATCCCCAGCAGCAGGAGAAAATCATCAGCAAAAATTTTGTAACATATGGCAACTGCCAACACATAACCAAGGGAAAAATACTTTTATTTTCTCTTCCTTTCTACTAAGAGGAACACCTTCATGTCAAGTTGTTTGAAGAAGCAATAGAGATTTTGCTGGTCATGCTGCACTTAACTCAAAATTTTAAAATACTAGGTTTCTTCTTCCTTAGATTAAAAGGGATGTTTGGTACCTAGCCAGCTCTGCAATTCATGCATCCCCAGAATGACGTTCGGACATGGACAGAGAGCTACATACATCTTTCCATGACTTGCAGCTTATTCATCCTCAAGAAAAAAAAAATCAGTCTGCAGGGTCATCTCTCAGGAAAGAATGCAAATGGAATTTTACTGTTTTGCTTTTAAAGCCATCCTCATCCTGGGGTAGTATGTCTGTGTGTGTATGCACATGCACTTTTTAGTTCTACTTATGGCCCAATGACTAAAGAATTTTTGACAGGAAAATAATAGATGTGGTACTTTTTATTTGTGATTTTCTTTAGTTCAAGCAGCTCCATATCTGGAAGGCTCTTCCAAGTATCAAGTTAAAGAACATGCAGTTCAAGTTACCTTAGTGCTTTCTTATGCATATCTTTATAAGAACCAAGATTGTGGGGCGCCTCGGTGGCTCAGTGGGTTAAGCATCTGACCCTTGGTTTTGGCTAGGGTCATAATCTCAGGGTCAAGAGATTGAGCCCCACATCAGGCTCAGTGCTCAGAGCAGAGTCCTCCCTCTCCCTCCCTCTCTGCTCCTCCCCCAGCTCCTGCACTCACACAAGCTATTATGTGCTCTCTGTCTCTCGTTATAAAAATAAATAAATAAATAAAATCTTTTTTTTAAAGAATAAAGATTGTGATCGATATCACAGTGAAATATGCAGTTGATACCCAGTGAAAATGGTTGTCTCAGAATGAGGAAACACCTCCAATGACAAGGAATGCATTACTTTCCAAGAAACCCATTCAATTTTGAACCGTTTTCAACATTAAAAAGAAGTTTCTTATGCTGAATCTAAAACTATCTCCTTTTTGCTTGTGCTTCTAGCCTCACCATCTGCATTAGTTTTGTACTTCTAAGGAGAAGGAGATTATGCCCAAAATTCCTTCTATGTGACAACACTTCTCAAACCTGAGGCCAGCTTACTTCCTGTTTTCCAGCTGTCAGAGTCCACTGGTGACCTGCTGGATTCCTCACTGGTGCTGTTTCCACCCTCCTCCCTACCCTATCTCTTTACCTCTAGACATAAGTTATTCTGCCAATGACTTTTTCCACTCTACTTTTTTTTTTTTTTAGTGATTTTTAAAAGATTTTATTTATTTATTTATTTATTTATTTATTTATTTATTTATTTATTTGAGAGAGAGAGAGAGAGAGAGAGAGAGAGAGAGAGAGAGTACACAGCCAGGGGAGATGCAGAGGAGAGGGAGAAGCAGGCAAGGCAGGCTCCCTGATGAGCAGGGAGCCTGACATGGGGCTCAATCCCTGGACCCCAGGATCATGAGCTGAGCTGAAGGCAGACACTTAACTGACTGAGCCACCTAGGTGCCTTTCCACTTTTTTAAGTGTAAAGCAGATCATTGGCCTAAATTAGGGGTATTAAGCAAAAATGCCATCAGTTGCCAGACAGGTAACTCAACTGGGTGAAGCATCTTCAGGTAAGGCCACAGGGAGTGATGACAACTGTGGTGACTTATAGAATGAGTTCTCAACCTGAGCATTCAAATTGGCATATTTCAAAATACTGTACACACACACACACACACACACACACACACACAGGGACTATAGTCATGATCCTGGGCTTAAATTATCCTGAGACCAAATATTAAATTAACAGGGTATATATAAAAATTTGAGAACTTAAACTTTCCCTGGTAAGGCTAGGAAAGATGGGAGAGCAGCCATTTGTGTCTTCGGGCCACTCTGGCAAGGTATGGGAGTTTCACCAGTCAACCGTTATCCACAAGTACACTGAAAAAACACAAACCGAACTCAGCATCCCCTCACTGCTGAGTATCTTATATCAGATAAGCTGGTTTTTACACCCAAGTAAACAAGGTACAGACCATCCGAAAGGATACATCATGACTGAAAACTAACAAAAAAAATCCATCTGCACAAACAATAAAGACCAATTATCACAGAGTATTAAGAAAGTTCATATTATTAGGGCACCTGGGGGGGCTCAGTCGGTGAAGTGTCTGCCTTGGGCTCAGGTCATGATCCCAGGGTCCTGCTTCTCCTTCTGCCCCTCCTCCTGCTTGTGCACACACTCTCTCTCAAAAATAAACTAATTAATTAATTAAATTTACAAAAAAGAAAACACACCATTATTAATTTCTTTACTCCATTAAGTGTTTCCTTTGCTAAGACTTAAAATGTTTTGCTGTTTTGTTTTGTTTTTTTTTTTTTTTTTCAAAAGCATAAACTGCCTCTCCTTTGTGTTTAAAAGATCTAGAGCTGGGGCAGCCTGGGTGGCTCAGCGGTTTAGCGCCACCTTCAGCCCAGAGCATGATCCTGGAGACCTAGGATCAAGTCCTACCTTGGGTTCCCTGCATGGAGCCTGCTTCTCCCTCTGCCTGTGTCTCTGCCTCTCTCTATCTCTCTCTGTGTATATCTCATGAATATATAAATAAAATATTTTTTAAAAAAAAGATCTAGAGCTGCCTTCCAAAGTGCACACAAGTTGTCTGTCTCCCTGTTAACCATGCTGGCACCTTCAGGAGCCAACTAAACTCACAAAGACCCAGACCTTTTCAGTGGTTATGGCCCAGGGCAAGTGGATGCTCTCTATTTGTTCAGAACCACAACGTATCAATCTACAAAACTCTGCTCTAATCACCACAAACTCCAGGGCATAAGACATAGGACCAAAGAGGAGTCAAGCTTTTCCTCAGATGGGTGGAAAATCACATGTCTCCTAGCTGTAAGCATGTGTCCAGTGATACAGTGGGTAACTAACGGCCTTGAAGTTGGTGTCTTCCACATACAAACTCCTCTACAGAAGCAGCCTTGGTGCTTAGCTCCACCTGACAGTTTAATTATCAAATCATCATTCATGACTTTCAACATTCTTTTTACAAATTAACCTTAGACTTCTATACCCACACATCAATATTCATTCTCTGGAAAGGAGTAGACAACTTCTTGGTTTACCTCTATCTGCCATCTTTGATCCAGTGGGCTGGTCTGGGACAGCAAGATGGTCCAGGTTGCTACTCAGTGAAGAAGTATCATCACTAGACAGAGAGTTCAAAAATCCACTTTCTGATGTGGCAAAGCTATTCTCCAGAGCCCTGCAACTGTTTGCTTCAGCAGGGGCAGATGAGCGCACTGCCACAGCAAACATTATAGACTGTTCCTCATTGTCAGCAGCGGCCGAACTGTTGCCCATGTCGATCCAGGACTGTCTGTCTCTAGAGAAGGAGGCCAAACTGCTTTGTGTCTTTATTGTACTTTCCAAGGAAGGGCAAGAACACGATTTGGGTGAAGATGAAGGTGCCTGCTGGGCAGCCTGTTTCATAAATAAAACCAAAAAAGAACGAAATAAATCATGATTAAACCAGCATTCTCTACTTTCCATTTTTAACAAAGGTACTCTAGTGTTTCAGAAACAAATTATTAGTCGCAAATTATTTGAAAACCCATTCACAAGTTTTGGATTCTTTTTTTTTTTCATTTGTTTTACCAACTGTAATTCAGAACAAAAGCTTTTTGTTCTTGTATTTAACCCCTGCTTTTTTTTTCAAACAGCTGAAGACATCATATTTAGCTTTATATTTCAGTGATAGGGAAATAGCTGCATTGGCCTTGCATAAGACCTTAATTCTCATACTTCATATGAGGATTATTAGTACAATCCCTTTTTATTTTGTTTGAGTTAAATTTGCTATAAGGGGAAATTAAAATTCTTAAGCTTCCACGTTATTTATTTTGAAGATTCTTTTTTTTGTATATTCTTTTATTGGAGTTTGATTTGCCAACATATAGTGTAACTCCCGGTGCTCATCCCGTCAAGTGCCCCCCTCAGTCACCCCATTCCCCCACCCACCACCCCTTCCACTACCCCTTGTTCGTTTCCCAGAGTTAGGAGTCTCCCATGTTTTGTCACCCTCTCTGATTCTTCCCACTCATTTTCTCTCCTTTCCCCATGATCCCTTTCACTGTTTTTTATATTCCCTGTATGAGTGAAACCATATGATGATTGTCCTTCTCTGATTGAATTTGAAGATTCTTGAACAGATCACAGCAATGTTCATTATAAAACAGTTACAAAGACTTGATAAAATACACTGAGAGAGAATTTCTCTGTTTGTATTCTGTATTTCCATTAGTTGCCAAAAGGAATAAGGTTAAGATTAAATTTAAATTTCATTCTATTTCTTATGGATCTACATGCCATGTTTAACTGACACACTGGGTGCTCTGTAATGTCTTATTAAAGAAAATAAAGAAACCTAAACTAGTCTAAAAAAAGAACCAGAAGAAAAATGTATAATATTTATATTCACATGACAAGAACTACGATGACATTGTCCAAAACCAACTTGTGTAACTGAAATTGTTAGTGGGATAAAGCCAAAGAATAAACTAGGATTTTCTCCCAAAACCTTCAGAACATTGCAACCAACTCAGAATGGTTGATTTTGTTCCCATCCTGTGTGTTCCCAAGAATTTTGCAGGTTCTAAACTCAGAGTTCTAATAGGAAAAGCCAGTATTTACCCAATCTATGCTCAGTTTGCTGAATATTAGACATGCTTTATCAAATAATCAATAAATCCACTTTTTAGTAGCATGACATTAAAATAACCAGTTAAGATACTGATTCATCACATACACCTTATTAATAACATATTTGTACAGACATGAAAACTTTCATTCCAGAATGTGTCAATGAGTTTGTAAATCAGCTGTCTTAAATCACTCAGACCATTTAACAACTAAGAGCTTAATCTGCAGTTCACTAAATAAAACCTTAGCTATCTAGAGGAGATAATACATACCCCTCCAAGCTGTCCAAATAAATGCCAAGACTTGCTTACTCATTAGAATGATCTGCAAAATAAATATTAGCAAAAATACCATTCCAATCTAAGTCCTGACAGTTCCCCCATTGTGAACTATTTTGGTAAAACATGGCTTTGGTGGGGCCAGCTTCCTTTTCTGAAAAGAGACCAAGTGCAAGCTTTTCCTGTTGCTCCTGCTATTACTGTAATTTGATTAGCAAAATGGGCTATTTGAGCAAAAGCCTGTGTACATAGCTGCTTCAACACTTTCCGTGAACCTTTCTGGACCTCAAAACTCTGCTCATGGGCCAAGGAAAGACATGTTTATAGAGCACCAGAAATTTCTGTTAAGTATATTCCTTTTGGGAGTACTACTCAAACATAAATGTTTTCAATCCATTGCTCTACTTTTATACCATGTAACATTCATAAATGTGATTTTTAAAATTTATTTATTTGACACGGAGAGAGAGAGAGAGCGTACACACAAGCACAGGCACAGGGAGCAGCAGGCAGAGGGAGAGAGAGAAGCAGGCTCCCTGCTGAAAAGGGAGCCCAACGTGGGGCTTGATCCCAGCTCCCTGAGATCATGACCTGAGAGGAAGAGAGACGCTCAACCAACCGAGCCACCTAGGTGTCCCTATAAATTGATTTTTAAATGGAAAAAAAGAAGAGTGAGCAAGAAAAAAACAAGGAAAAAGTAGAGAGATGGAAAGAGAACATGAAAAAAAAAGATGTGTATTAGAAGAGATATTAATAAAATAAGAATCAAAGTGATCCTTGAGTGTCATCACAGAGGGCTCAATATGCAAATGTGCCTTAGAGATACTGTGGTGCTAAATCACAGGTGATTATTTCCACCATCTGTAGCTACCAATAGCCACAGTTAAACAGAGAACACTTAACTCAGTGCCTTATATGAACCATCCAGGTAATATACTCACAAAATTTCTTACTGCAAATCAAATGACAGTCCTCCTCACCCTATCCCAGTGGATTAACACAAACCCATCCTTTATCTCAGTTCAAGGACTGGCTCCTCCAGGAAGCCCTCAGTGGGCTCAGAGCCTGGTGGGTGCCTCTATCTGGTGCTCCCAGGCTTACTTCCATCATACTTGGGAGAAGTCATTTTATTTGTCAACGAATACTATAATTGCTGATTGACTCATTCATCTTTTTTGGTGAGCTACTTGAGAACAGGCTGTGTTTAAGTATTATTTTTACACATCTATTTTTACATCTATACCTGACCTACAATTGATAATAAATTAATACCAGTACAAAATGGTCTAGAAGAAAAATAGCCCAGAGTAGTTTAGTCTCTTATGAAGGAGAACCCTGAAATTCTCTGTAGAATTTCTACAAATGATTTATCCTAATCCCAGGACCTGGGGGTGACAGTCACTGATTGTAATGCAAATACTCCCACAAAATGTTCTCATGATCTCCAACAAAATTATTATTTTACCTATTAAAGATAAGTAATTGCATGGTGGTTCATTTCAGAACATTTGGGTTTTAAACATTTTACTTTTTGATGAGAAAATTTAAAGACATTTTAAAAATCTAAGTTTTAATGAGACTGTATGATTAAATTAAAAATCAATATTGCTTTCCCATTTCCTCACAAATTTGCATGTCATCCTTGTTCAGGGGCCACACTAATCTTTTCTGTATCAGCCCAATTTTTTTTAAGATTTTTTATTTATTTATTCATAGATACACAGAGAGAGAGAGAGAGAGAGGCAGAGACACAGGCAGAGGGAGAAGCAGGCTCCATGCAGGAAGCCCTACATGAGATTCGATCCCGATGTTCGGGATCACACCCTGGACTGAAGGCGGCGCTAAACCCCTGAGCCACCCGGGCTGCCCTCAATCCAATTTTTGTATATGTGCAGCCAAAGTGAGTATGCTTTTTGCCATTTAATGTATATTTTTTTAATTCAAATTCCAGTTACTTAACACACAGTATAATATTAGTTTCAGGTATAGAATTTAGTGATTCAACATTTACATAAGACATTTTTTATTGATCAAAGAAGCTCAATTCAAATGTTGATTAGCTCTAAAATTTTTTTCTTTGACTTGTTTAAAAACATAAATTTGACATAGAAAAAAACAGTTTAAGACAGCCACCAACAGTCTGTCATTAGGAAGAAGTGAGTCAGCATATAAATTTTAAGCAACATTACTCAAAGCATATTTGTTTTTTAAAAGAAGAAAATACAGGAATAACTTAAGACTAAACATAATAAAACCAAATGAGGAAAAAAAAGGAATGTATATGGCTTTTCTTTTATGGGCCACATTAATAAAAACAAATTAATCAATTGCTGCCAAACCCCAAGAAATATTGTTTGTATTTCTACTGTATGCTAGTAGTAGCATTCTCTAAAAACCCAAAAATCTTGTAGAGCACACACCCCCATCTGACCCTGGCCTCCTGTATGATCATGGAGGACCTGCTCCTCATCCTAATCCCCAGTATCCTAGTGACCTTGAAGAAACCACTTTACTGCTAAATCCTATTCCTTAACTTCCTCCTGCCACCATTACCCGCCCCCTCCTTTCCTTATCTTCTCAGTTTCTCTCATATCCTGATCCACCCACTGGGTGGTCTACGTTCCAACCAACTTCAAAATCTGCCCATTCCTTTTTTCAATTATGCCCTGACCTGCATCATCACCATCTCTCACACAGATCCCTGCAACCCTCCCTCTGATTTATTTGCTTCTATCGTACCCCCCACCTCCCAGGACAGTAGGGAACTCTCCTGCACAGTAGCCTGAGTGGCCCTTTTAAGATGGAAACTGATCACATCGCATCACTCCTCTGCTCCAAACTCCCAAAGGCTCCCTTAAGTAACTCAAAACATCAAAGTCTTTAACAGGCTCTGGGGCCCTACATGGTATAGCCACTGTGACCTTGCAACCTCATTTCCTGCTATTCTCATTTTGACTCACTCTGCTTCAGCCACTGACCTCCTTACTCTGCCACCTACGCACCAAGGATATCTTAGCTCTAACTGTTCCCTTTGCATAGAACTCCCCAAACATCGACTTGGCTCTCACACCACCTTTCAAGAGTTTTGCTCAGACCTCAGCTTTCACTCAGGCCTATCCTGGCTACTCTGTTTGCAGCTATGACCCGACTTCCAGAAATCCTATCTCCGCATAGTCACCATGCTTTACTTCCACTGCATAGTACATCATTTACTTATTACATTGATTGTTTCTTACCAGACTCCCTCAACTCAGTTTGACTTCATGAAGAAATAGATCACTGCTATTTATTTATTTATTTATTTATTTATTTATTTATTTATTTATATGTCCCAAATATTTGGAACGGTCGCTCTCAACAAAATTTGTTAAATGAATGAGTAAGCGCATAAACATAGATCAAGTTACTAGACTATGCTTTTTAATGATTAAACTTAGAAAAAAATATGTGTAACAGATTTTTAATGATGATTAAGCTCTTAAATCACTTAGTAACATCATTAAATAGGAAATATGAAGGAAGTCAGTTCCTTTTTTGCTCTTTTGTTGGTTTCAAGGAATTGTGGATTTCAAGGAATCATGGATACTGATTTCTACAAACTTCCAAAGTGAAATCTACCGGGTCCCAACTGTCTTGAGCTTTTTTAGCAAGTCTGTCAAAAGGTCCCCATTTCTAATTTCTCTTTGAATAAATGGATGTCCTTTCCTATCCATCCTGTGAAATCTTCTCAAGAAGCAGCAGCATAAACAGAAACCTCTTGTTCACTCAGAGAAGATCCTGAAGTGTTCTTTATTCTCTTGTGGAATGTGGTCCCACCCGTTAGAAGCAGAGGTCCAACTGATCTTGTGCTGAGGTCTTAACCGTTTGCAGCAATTAGAAAGATTGGACATTGAATTACATTTTTAATTCAAGATTCTGACTTTGGGGAGATGATTTTCCAGCATTGTATTAGTCTATAATTTTGAGTCACCATTCCAAAATGAAAGTTCATTATCCAAAATATCTTTTCAAAGCAAGAACTTAGAGAAAAAATGTTTCCACCTAGGCATATATAGCTCAGTCCTGGATAGCCTATCGCGGATTGAGCCAACACAATAAGCTGATTCATCCTCTGGATAAAAGTTACCATGAGTTTTTGAATTTTCGTCTGTTTGAATAGAAAGCTTAAATGTTATTTTAACCAAGTGTCTTGTATGTCTATTTTTCAGAAACAAGAGGAAACAAAAACAAAATCTGCCTGGAAAATATGTGAGCCGGAGGAACATATTCTGTTTCTAAGGAAAATAAAATCTAACTGTTCAACATTTATCTATTTCCGATATATTTCTTCAGAAAAAAATGTTAGGAGCACCTGAGTATCTGAGTCAGTTAAATGCCTTCGGCTCAGGTCCTGACCTCAGGGCCCTGGGATGGAGCCCCACATCCGGCTCCCACTCAGTAAGGAGTCTGCTCCTCCCTCTGCCTCTGCCCCCCCTCGTACTCTCTCTCACATAAATAAATAATATCCTTTTTAAAAGAGAAAAAAATGTTAACCTTGGTGGTCTTCCAGAAAATGCTCAACTTAGAACCTTAAGAAATAACATTTGATCAATGACTCAGAAAATTCTAAAGAATCCTCCCACTTCAATGACCCAACTTATTGGTCTCATATGCATCCCTTCATTTATTTGTTTTGAAACAAGCATTTCCTGAGCTTCTACTGTAACATCAGGTAAAACTGTCATTGTATGATGCAATTGAGCCTTGAACCCTCATCTAAGAAGATAATTTGGTTGCTTTTAGTCTTTTTTTTTTTATTATTCATGAGAGAGAGAGAGACAGAGTCAGAGACATAGGCAGAAGGAGAAGCAGGCTCCATACAGGGAGCCCTGATGTGGGACTCGATCCCAGGACTCTAGGATCATGCCCTGGGCTGAAGACAGACGTTCAACCACCAAGCCACCCAGGGTCCCTGCTTACAGTTTCAAGTAGAGTTCTAGATCCCTAAAAATGCTCTTAGTAATCTGTGATACCAGTTGCCACTATAAAACTAAAAACTGCAGTATTTTAGAACTAAAATAAATCATATAAGAATCATGAAGGGGTGGCAGACAGTAGGAGGGAGAGAGAATTTCAGGAAGAGAAAGATGAAGAATCAACCAAATCATTGTGTTACAGGTTAAAATAGGAGAAACAGGGGCATCTGGGTGGCTCAGTCGGTTAAGCATTTGCCTTTGGGGCAGGTCATGATCCTAGGGTCCTGGGATGGAGCCCTGTGTCAGGCTTCCAGCTTATCGGAAAATCTACTTCTCCCTCTCCCTCTGACCCTCTCCCTCACTCATTCTCTCTCTCTGTCAAATAAATAAAATATTTTTTAAAAAATTAGGACATACAGAGAAAAGAGAAAAGACAGAGGTAGAGACAAAAAGAGAGGGAGGAGAGACAGAGACAGAGAGAAAGAGAGAAACTAAACAAAATATATACTTCTCTATTAAACTAACTGGGCACATCTATTTAGTCCTTTTTTAAATGCAGAAACTGATTTTAAAAGAGGAGAAAGACTACATTAAGGGCAAGTTATGAAAATATTAAGATAGGACATATTATAAGTCTAATTAAAAAATTAGTCTGAATTTTACCATATTCAAAGTTTAGTTTTATTTATATCTTAATTTAATAGGCTAGTCCTTCTGAATAGGAATTTTGATAAACATACTCAGTCGACAAATATTTATTTCTGGTCTTGGCTGCTAGCCAAATAAACTAGAAAAGGGACCACAATTCTCCCCTCAGAGCAGGTGACAATAGTAGAGGTCATCATTTAAATGCTATTTAATATCCTAAATCCAGAAACTGGCAAAACAAATAAAGATGAAAACGTCATCACACAAAATAGAAAACTCTGGCAGAAGAGGTCCAGTAGGTGAAGGAGCTGCTGTAACCTATCAGAACTTATAGTCACTTGGGCCCTCGGATGGGCAAGTGCCATAGTGGGGTGGAAAGAGCCTAAATAACAGAGTGAGACACAGCAGGGTGTGTCCATCTCAGGTGCCCCATTCACTGCATGTGTAGCCAGGCCATTCTATCTGTCTGAACTTAAGTTTCCTAATCATGAAATAAGGATAGCCACATATACCTCCTCATGACCTAGCAATAGGAGACAACTTTTAAAATCAGATACAAAGGCATAACCAGAGCAGAAGAAATGGATAAATCTGCCACATTGGAATCCAAAACAACTATCTATAAAAAGAGATCATGAAACAGTCTAAAAAAGTAAAAGTCATGAAGCAGAAAAGGAGATGTGTCTTCCTTCTGACAAAGAGCTAACATATAGGATAATAAAGACACTTTATAAAAACAAAATAATACCAGTAAGAGAGCTAAAAATGTGCTAAAGACTAAACAGACAGTAAATAAAACAGAAAATCCAAATGACCAATAAATATGAAGAGATGCTTGGCCTCATTAGTAATAAGTGAAATGCAGACTAAATAATACTACTTTTCAGGGTTCTGGGGGGTGGTTAAATGGTTATATACTTAAAGTACCTACATAAGTCCTGGCACATGGTAGGTAGAAGAACCATAAATAAACTTCCCCCAAAGATCCTTGCTTGATTCCTTCTAAGGGCCATCACTCTAATGCCAACAAGCATCTAAATAGAAAGCAAGATGTCAAGTCTTAACATCCATTAATAACCTGAATTTACATTGAATGCTTCTAAAGCTGAGAATTAAACTTGGACTTCTCTCTAGAGAATACACAGAACACTTATTTCATGTACAGATTGAATCCACTAACCCTACTTCTGGCTTCCTGATACCCTTCAGACTCTAATTTTCTCTTCGTCTATTGCGTTCATCCCCTTTGTGTTCATTTTACATTGTTGTAATGCACATGCCCAGGACCGGCACTTTCAATTCTTTCCGAAGACCATTAGGGTATAAATAAACATTATAAAATAAATCTTTGAAAGCACTGGCTTACCACCCAGAAGCCCTCTGCATTACCCTAAGTCCTGTCAGCATGGTACATCGGTGGGTCCCATGCAAATGCACTGAGTTTGTCACACCAGGGGGTCGCTATGAAGAAAACTGAAAAATATGAAAATTATACTTGCTCCTTGGAAGGTACATCAATTTAGCCTGTTCTAAAAACTGATCAAAGTAGATTCTATGCCACTGGAAGGAATGAGATCCATGCACTTGATCATGACCAATAGAAAAATGAGTTCAGTACGTACCAAAGGAGAGAAAGTCTCTGCAGAGTAAGGAGGGGGTGGTGTCTCCACAGCTATTTCAGGGTCCTCCTGTTCACTCTCACTATAACATTCTATACAAAAATGAAAATTTTTAATGTTTCAACACTGTCATCACTTATTCCATAATGCATGAGCAGAGGTTTTGCTCCATCTGGCTATTATAATTCCAATCCGTTTCAGAAAGGACTCATCTACTGAGCTACCTGGTACAAGGCGATTACATAAGAGGGAAAAAATGAATAGCCATATTAGAGTTTCTGCCCTCATGAGAGTGTAATACATAGGAAGAGGACTAGCCATGGCTCACAGAAAATAAAATAATTCCTCAAAAGAGGTTAAGAGTCATACACTAAGCTTCAATTCAGCAGTGATTAATTTTGATCATAGGAGCTATCAGGAGCTGAAAATGGCTGGATAAGTAAACCATCAACAGTGCACACAGAGTAATGGGAGTACCACCAGGTTAAGGGTATAGGTTGAGCCACTATATAAAGTCCCCTAAGGGATGTGGTAAAGAAAATAAAATAAATAAAACTGAGGCTTTAGCACAGAAGGCCTTAAATACCAGGATAAGGAGAAGATCTTTGTATCGTGATTTTTTTCCCTCACAATCTATAAACGCACTTCAAATATACAATGGTTATTTATGTTGTGGCAAAGAGGACCAAGGAAATGGTAAGGACACTGATTTCACACTCTTCCATTGTAGTTCTTTATTGTTTGAAATCAAGTTGCCACTTTTCCATTTCTCAACTTCAGCTTTTATAATTTTTGCTATCCAAAGATATAACTCCCCACCTTCCAATTTCCAAGATTTATGTGATCTGAGCACTTCAAAAATTGTATCAACTCTGTGATTCTGGCATTTAAATCCTCCATCCTCTCAATATTCAGGAGTAACTGCATCATTAAGAAGATTTCAACTCCTGTGGCTTTTGAACTGAAAGTTACGGACTGAGCTAAAAATATGGCCTGTGTCCCAATCTGACATTCAGTTTCCTAGCACAAACTTAGAGTAATTAGCCTGGTGAAAATATTAAAATATCAGAGAGGAAATAGTGGGATGAAAGTTATCTGTCTAGATCATGACGAGATCATGTCTCTGAGTAAGAACTGAGTGAGTGGGGCAATAAAACATTTGTACTGGCAGTTTTTTGAGATGTCAGTGAAGCCTACAGCTGCTAATGTGTGGGTGAAGTGTAAAAAGCATTCTTAGCCAGCATGGGAAGCTATTCCATGTTGGTGAGTCTGTGTGAATTTGTCTGCTTCTACATATTTTCAGATAATTTCAAATGCCAAAGTATGTTTCATTAGGACAAGACTATGCATAGAACTTGACATTGTATTTTCATCCTATCTCATCTTAAGATTCTTACTAAATTTTCAGAAATTGAAAATAGAACATACCTTCATCCTTTGTAGCAGATTCATGATGGATTACAGCTAATCCAAGCTTGTTTAACCACCTAAAATTCAAATAGAAAATAAATGCTTAGCCAAAGAGATCGGTCATCTCCTATCTACCTTCCCCCCATACCCTGAAGGAAGGAAGGTCTTGTGCCAGTCTTTACAACGCAATTGTCATAATTCTATAGTTGGTCTAAACATTTCCAGAAACAGCATAACTTTGTGGTATTGAAATCTAAAACCACTTGTTTAACAATACTTTGTTTACATGGGATATTCTTTGTAAGACAAGAAGTAAGGCTGTCCATTATCCAGTTGGCTAAGGTGGGCAACTATATATTCTAAATATCTGAACAAATATATCTTTTGCAACTGTGCATTTGAAAATTTTAGCAACCATCAAAACCTGTATTCTTGAATTTAGTAACCTGACCATTAAAGTACCATCTTTATAATTCTTAAAATGTAATTTTATTTCACAAAAAAATAAAGAAAGGATGTGCATTTTTAAGCCAGATTTTTATATTAATCAATAAAAGATATGGCCAGAGTTTGACAGGTATTCCTAAGGTGCGGAAATGTTTAATTTCTTAAAGAATTTTATGTTAGGTAAAAATTTACAATGTCCTATCGTCTTAACAATTTACCATTTTATTGGCAATAATTTGCAACTAAACATCAGTAATAAAAATAGAACTAGACAAACTTGAAGGAACTCAAACTTGGCTCATGACCTCAGGCCATTGGAGTTCCTTTTCAAGGGATTAGTCAGGAACATATTTTATTACACAAATTCATGAAAGACAGAATGTGTCTACATCATATGTTCTTAGCTATATAACTTTCTATTTAAAGGGAAAATATTATTTTGGGGTGGTAATCTGATTTATTTCCCACCTTTTTCCAGTTTTCTATATTTTTAAAAAGTATTCCATATTATGTGTTCACTTTTTTTTTTTTTTTTTTTTTTTTTTTTTTTTTTTTTTTAGAAACCAGTGTATTCAGTAGTGGCCTAAGTCAACCAATACTAATAAAATAAAAAGAATGTTATGCATTTATTGACTCACTTATGCTTTCCATTTCTTCTAGTTCTGTATTGCTTCATGAACTATCCAGCACGCTGCTCCCTCACTACTGCATAATTATTGCATATTCCCAAGTCTTTTCAGCTGTAACAAATTAGGAATCCTTACCCAACTCTCAACCTATCATGGTCCTGCCATATTTATTATTATTAATAGGAAATATATAAATTTCATTTTAACAAATAAGCAGAACTTTCTATAAGAAGGAAGATGAACTTCAGATGAATTTAAGAAGCCCCTCAGGGGTGCCCAGATGGCTCAGTCAGTTAAGCGACCAAATCTTGATTTCAGCCTAGGTCATAATCTCAGAGTCATGAAATTGAGCTCCCAGTCAGCCTCCATTGGGGCTCCAACGGGCTCTGTGCTCAGTGGGGAGTCTCCTCTCTCTCTCTCTCTCTCTCTCTCTCTCTCTCTCTCTCTCCTCCTTCTGCCCCTCCTCCTGTTTGTACTCTCTAAATACATATAAATATTATATATTATATAAAATATATATAATAAAATATATATTTTTAAAAGCACTTTAAGAAGCCCCATCAGCACAATGATAAACATGAACTCTTTAATGGCCACTTAAAACCAGACTAATACATGGGCCCAGACCCCACCATAGAAACCAGAAAGTGTTTAAGACCCAATAGAATAATAAACAACTGGAAAAAAAAAACCAGGAAATCAAATAGAACAAATTTATCAGCCTCCATAGAATTTTGGGAAATGCATATTCAAACACAGGAAAATATTCACCACTACACTGGCAAAACTTTAAAATACTGATTTCTAGAATTGAGGAGGAAACATTCTCATCCTTTGTTCAGTTGAACTTCAAAACTGATACAGCCAATTTTAAGCAGGCAAGTTGACGATACTAATCAAAATTTAAATATCTACCCCCTAATTATAAATGTCTGTCCTACAAACCACAAATAAGTGTGGAAGAATGTTAATTCAACAAGACATGCAATGGCAAAAGAAAAAAACACTGATACAATATAATCATCCATTAATAGGAAAATGGATAAAATATGGCACTAATTTCATCAGTAAATTAATGTTTTAATGAAGCTAATAAAAAGACTGAGATAGGAAGCCTTGTGATGGCCTGGAAAAATCCTAACATACTGTTAAGTGAAAAAAGCAAGTACAGAACAATATGATTAGTCTGATTCACTGTACTTTTAACACCTTGTATTTGCACATGTGCATGAATTGGTATGCAAAGAAAAGCATCAGGAAGGATGTATGTCCCTCATACTGTTAAAAGCAGTTAATCCTAGGGAGAGAAGATGAATTGGAGAGTGAAGCTAGGAGTATGGGAAGGTTTTCACTTTAAATACTTCTGAATTATAGTATTTTTTACAAGAATATGTTTTGTGTGTTCTTTAACTGAAGGAAACATTTTAAAGTACATTTCTAAAACTTGATCAGGCAAAGCACAATGTATTTATTCACTTTCAAAATACCCAAGCTATTATTAATTTATACCCGATTTCATAAGTGCATACTAACCTTCCCCCAAAAACAGCATCTAAAAATGAAATAGACAGTTTTTAACATATCAAGACAAAAAATAGTTTTGAACTGAGTAAGCCTGAAACAATAAAAGGCATTTCTAAGTTCCTTTCCAGAACACAGAAATACAGAAATATAGCAAAACGAAAGAGTACTGACAATAAAGAAAAGATTCCTCCCAGCTCTTACCCAAAACTCATGTCCTTTTCATTGCCACCATTAGATACTTGCTGTAGAAAACATGATTGTTCAGAATCTTGTTTGACTGTTTCCTTTCTAGAGCCCACTAGCTTAAGAGTACCTCCTTTGCTAAGAACTTTTTTTAAAACCAAGGCAGTAGAGAAATTTCTATTTGTGGCTAAATAGATGGATGCACAAAAAGACTTATATTTACATAAAAGAAGATGACAGATGTTTCCTGGGAGTTTGTTGTATATTAAATCAATGTGTTGGAGGAGCACAAGTGTTAAGAAATTGATATACAAAACAAGAAGTTTCTTCCCACAAACATCGTCTGAGAAAGGCAACTACCAACCAGTCTTTGTTTAGAAACCAACTCTTCCGTTACCCTTAATTACTTACCCCTGTGCTTGTAAATTGAGGGTCCCTGCAGAACACACAGCATTTCTATTAAATGTAATTACCTTCCCCTTCATCGTCCCTGAGAGAAACGTCACCGCCAAAAAATGCAGTTTCCCAAGGAAACAAACTTCTAAAACAGGACCCGTCTCTCCACATGCCAGTCCCTCCATCCCCAGATTCTTTGCATCTCGCAAGGAAATACCCAGCTCCATTATCAACTGGCTCAAACTGGCCTCCTCAGTAAGAAAGAGAGCTCTTCAGGTGCCCCTCAGAACAAATCTTTAAATGTCATCTGCATCATTTGGTGGGAGAAGAGGAAGCTAACTTGGAGGCCCCAAAGAGATTGCACTTGGATGGCTATTAACACCACCAGAGAATGCCAGAAAGGACACTGGGGATTAATTGGTGGCTCACATCCAGACTGACCCTCACTATGGCAGGGCTCCAAGTACTGCTGGGTGAGACGTAAGCCTTTCACACACCACCAACATACCTACAGCTTATTAATCAATAAAATTTAGTTACCAAAACAAAAAGAAAAATAAAAAAGAGCTTTGTGAAGTTTTTTAAAATCTTCTTTTGGGCATCCGCTCTTATTTTTCTCAGGCACTTGAGAAAGCCAGGGGGAGAGAGCTAAAATCAGGAAGAGTGTAGAAACAACTTCTCTCTACATTTAAGTAAATAAAATTCTTGTTTGAAAGACTCAATTTGTCAATTCCTTGTCTCGTTATTTAACATGGGGTGTCCCAATGGTCTGTAAAGAGCCATTCTGCCCTCATTTGAAGGTTGTGGTGGGAGCTTAGAGAACAGGTGAGAAGGTTTCTAGCTATATGAGGCTGCTGATGGGGCTTTCCTATAAGAAGGCACAGGTGGGGCGCACCTGGGTGGCTCAGTGGTTGAGTCTCTGCATTTGGCTCAGGTCGTGATCCGAGGGTCCTGAGATTGAGTCCCACATCAGGCCCCCCATGGGGAGCCTGCCTCTCCCCTTCCCCACGTCTCTGCATCTCTCATGACCAAGTAGATAAGCTCTTTGGGGAAAAAAAGGGTGTGTGTGTATCCACAGCTTATACATGTTTGGTGAAAAGCAGCTTTTTTCTTTAGGTTTCTAAAGCAAGAGGGTAAAGAGAAATTAGAGCAGAATGATAAGGAAATCATTGTGTATAACTAAACAAAAGAGATTAAACCATAAGCTCTTTAAATGAATTATGTATATATTCTTTATTTCTTTTGCCCAGGATCTGCCACTGTGGACATATAGTAGGTATTCCACTGACACATTTTTATTAGTTATGTGATGGTAATGAGGAACATTGAGAAATCTGAGAATAGGGCTTAAATTAAATAGAAGGCCCTTCAATGCCTCAAGCACCTCAAATATATATAGCCTCTTTCAATTAACAGCCATTGTGCTCACACTATAATCTAAACCAGCAGGGGATGGAGTCGGGCAGATAGTGCTCTATGCATATATTCCACTTACTTAAACAGGAAAAAAAAAAAACAGGAAATGGAGTTAGGGACATAAAATTTTATGTGAGATGTACTCTGAACAAGGACATTTTGCAAAATTTTCAGGATAGAACATGGATTAGTAATAAACAGAGGGATCATCATGATAATTACACAGGACATAAGAAATGCTACAGATATTTTTCATGTAGAATTCTAAAAGCTGTGAGATTGGTCACAGTACTTTCAGGCCTTTCTCCCCCTGTGATGCTGATTCTCACTGTAACATTTTCTTATAATGACTTCTGTCCTTTCCTTTCTCAACTGAGTGGTTCCCTCAGAAGAATCTTATTACTTCTTCCTAAAATAGCCATTTTGATAAAGGTAGTTCTCCAAAATGCTTCCAAATAGCCTAGAAGAAAGTAAGAACACTTAAAGTGCTAAGGAGACTAATCCTTAAAGTAGCAGTAATAAATAAAACAGGTGATATTAACATATGCTTAAAATTCAAACACCTGACCAAAGTAATCTATTTCCAAAAAGATTGGATTTAGCAATTTTCTCTACTTACACGCTCATTTCCTGTGCATTCTCAGCTGCGAAAAAAAAGGTCTTGATCTGTGGATGGCTGATCTTAAAAGCACTTGAAGGGAGAAAAACGCAGACACATGAAAAATTAGAAATTAGTGTAGTTATCAATGGGTTTGAAAGTAAATCAAATACAAGTGTAGAAATTCATGTGCTTTCTTTGTAAATTTACAAAAAAATAATTTAGTCTCATTAAACATCCATTGCCTAATCTCTATTTCATGTAGAGAGCAGACAATTAATTTATCGTGTTGAGACATCCAGACTAGGACTGAGTCTTGGCTAGTTAATAGTTTCTATTTAAAACATATAGGCATATGCTTTTATTTTCATTTGCTAACTGCTTTGCTATAAAGAGACAATAAATTAAAATTTACAGTCTTAGAGGTGTCACTTAATATTCAATAAATTAAAATTTATAGTCTTAGAGGTGTCACTTAAATATTCAGATCAACCCCTTAAAGCAAAATACTTATTCAAATTCAAATATATACAGAATTTTATTTGTAGGAAAATAATCAAGTATAGAACTTCCACACTGTAACAACATATCAAAAAAATTTATCCAAGCCACCTTCTAGGAGTAAAGGAAAAATATACTTATTTTTAGTTTAAAAGAAAAGTATAAAACACTGAAGATTAGCAATGAAATGCTTCCCCTTTACCACCAGACCGGAAGTCCTGCAGTACAGGCCATCATTCTGGTAAGTAACCAGTTTGGTCAAAACCACGAAAATCAACACAACATCGTGTATCACTGGATATGTACAGTAACAATAGAGTGGCAGGGACTTAAAGCTAATTCAATTTTATTCATTTTCTTAGAAAAATCTAGTCAGTTGCCACTACTGGTAACATAGGTCACTAAGGAGATAAATGCTTTTTTCTGATAAAACAGAAAAAGATGTCAAAGGCAGAAGAATAAGAAAAAGGTCAAGAGGGCACATTTGCAAAATGCAGCTGGATGCTATCATGAAAAGAGCACATGAATGGTTAGCTAATCTAGACCAGCTCTCCTGTGAGTTCTAGGCAAGCTCAGACTCTCTGAGCTGTTCCCTTCTCAGTAAAATAAGGACTGTAAGCTGGTGACTTTTTTGGTTCTTGTCTATTCTCAAATTTTTTGGACTTAAATTATATCAGAATATAATCCCAAAATCTATAGTATCTCAGAATTAATTCTATTTCAAGGATGACAATGTTATGAACTAAGTCAAAGAAAGTGGTCTTGCTATCATATCTTAAGCTCTAGTGAGTCCTATTGAACCAGTCATTCTCTTCACCCAGACAAGATCTTGACATCTGATCTCCCAGCCAATCCTGGATGGGAGCTTGTTTTTCATTCCATCTCAGACACAGTTGTCAAAAATATGTCATGCCAAGGCTCCACAGGGTTTTAAAATCCATCTGTTCCACAAAATGAAATTACAGAAAATAAGAGGTTAAAAGCTTACACTGTTTTTAGGATGCTAACCCATAGGTTCAAAATTCTCAGGCATTTGGGTGTTACCTTCACTAACTTCCAAATCACCACATCACTCGAGAAACTAAAATTATGAAGGGATGTTATCCTGGCACAGAGTTTTGTGGGAAATGATAGATAACTTACTGCTTTTTCTTGCATTCAGATGCTCTCTCTACAGAGAAATCGGGCAGATTGACAAATCCATCAGCCTTCTCTGCCTGAGAAAAATACATACAACAGATATGAATAAATGAGTCAATCCTAACAGTAAGTTTATAAAGATCATACACATTGAATGAGATTATATAATGAAATGAAAGAGAACAAAAGATACCTCCCTGAATCAGCATTGGACTTACCGAGATCCATATTTGATGAGAGAAATTAATAGTCTCCTAATAAGTCATCCAGAATCTTTCCATGAGAAGTACCATGACCCAGCTTAGGGATGGCCAAGGTATGACATGCATAGGACTTGGCCCAACCCCTTCCTGTATCCCTGGAAGATCCCAGTGCTAACCCATCAGAGCTCTACTCTACCATGTTAGTAGGCAACCTCAGCATCAAATTCACCTCCAGTAAGCCAGTTCTCATACTCCACTAAGCCACAAGCACAGAAGGTAGAATGTAACCAGCATCCTACCATATGGTGGACAGAGGCCAGATTTCAGAGTTAGCAAATCAAGGTTCATATCATAACATACCTAACAACTTACTGATTGTTAGAAGGCTTGAATGAGCTTAGATAAATAAAATGCTTAACAGATACTCAACAAACATTAGTTCCTCTCCCAAGTCTGTAGGCAGTTCTGATGGTATTAAACCATAGAGCAGTATCTTAGAACATCTCAGTTCCATATCATTTCCTAGAAAGACTTTTTTCAAAGGAAAGTCTTCAGAAAAAAATGACTCGTTTGGACATCGCTTGAATGTCCCTTCAAAACATCAAATATTCTATAGGAAATATAATTCTTGTTCTACCTCTCTGAGAATTTGTTAATCTTTATGGATAAAATATAACTACACCACAAGGAGGCTAGATTGTTTGTCAGATAGAACCCAAATATTCTTCCATCTACACTGGTGTCTCTGAGTAGGGAAACACAGTCCACAAGATTAATCCTTAATGACTCAGTGCTATGGGGAAATGAATTTTAAAAATTGATTTTTGAAAATATAATCTTAGTTTTAAAAGTCCACTAGCTATTAACTTAGCACCATGGGTCCTCTTACTTCATTTCATGATTCTGCAACTCTTTCCCTTATCCCCAACCTGAGTGCAACTCCTATACTTCCTTCAGAAAAATTAAACTGTGAAAACTTTAATCCTATGCCTGTCCCATCTTCCCTCTCCTATATGAGTTTATCTATCCAAATTCTTCACTTGAAATGCTTTCTTCTTACAAGGCTCAAAACTCAATTCTAAAGGGAACTTCCTTCTTAAAAAATTATATATATCTATATATCTATCTATATCTATATCTATATATCTATTATATATATACACTCTTTCATTCAACTTAACTATTTCTTAATGAACTGTTTACTCACTGGATGATGGTTTCACCAATCCTATCTCCAAAAGAATTTAAAATATTTAAAGAACATAGACTGTAGATCAACTTTTTCTACAACACACAATACTTCCTGTGGATGTTCATCAGCATTATATAAAAGCATAGTTTTGAAAAACTGTCAGGCTCTGGTAATTCTACTTCTAGATGTGTACCCAGAAGAAGCAAAAGTAGGTACTCAAATAAATACATAAGCATCCATGTCCACAGAAATATTACAATAGCCAAAAGGTAGAAATAGTCCCATCAACAGGAGACTAGATAAACAAGTTGTAGTTTATTCATACAATGGAAGATTATTCAGCCATAAAACCAAATGAAGTACTGATACAGGCTACAATGTGAATGAATCTCGGTAGCATTATACAAAGTGAAAGAAGCCAGACACAAAACATCACACATTATACATATAACTACCCAGAATAGATAAATCCACAGAGACAAAACACAGATGAGGTTGTCAGGGGCCGGGGAAATTGGGGAATAGGGAGGAACTGTTTAATGGGTATGGGTTTTCCTTTTGGAGGTTGAAAATGTTTAGAACTAGACAGCAGTGGTGGTTGCACGAAATTGTGAGTGTTATCAAATGCCCCTGAATTTCTCAGTTCAAAATGGATAAACTTGGGGTGCCGGGGTAGCTCAGTCAGTTGAGCATCTGACTCTTGATTTCGGTTCAGGTCATGATCTCAGGGTCCTGAGATCCAACCTCGCGTCAGGCTCTGCACTGGATGTGGAGCCTGCTTAAGATTCTCTCTTCCTCTCTCTTAGCCTCTCTCCCCCTCTTAAAAAAAAATGGATGATCCTAAGTGAATTTCACTTCAATTAAAAAACCATAATCTATATTAGGCTAAAGTATTTTTATGTAAATTTCTATAATTATTTTAGAAAGAAAACAATTTATATTCACCATTTGTTTCTATTTCCTCCCTTCATTCATAGCTATGCCCACTGTTCCACAGAAGCTGTAGTTACATGAACCCCAATGATTTTCATGTTGCCAAGTTCTGTCTATGTCTTTTGTTCTTCATTCAACTGAACTCTAGTAATTGATACTAAAACTCAAGGCCTCCCTCTAGAAACACCTCATTTCTTGCTTTTCTGACATATTCCTGCTGCTCCCTTTCTCCTCCAACTACTCCTTGCTTGCTTTTGTGAGGTCCTCTTCTCTTGCCTGTTTCTTAGATGTCAGTGTTCCCCAGACTTCCCACCACAAACCTAATCTCTTCTCACTCCAATACTCTCTCTGGGGGGACTACACAGCCTACCGTGGCGGCATGTATTGCCACTGCACACACATATATCCAAAATCTATAACTGGAACTTAATCCTGAGCTCCTGTCCCAGAGATCTGACTGCTTTGCATACTTGTTCTCATGAGCATTCCACAGATTCCCTGTTACAGACTGAATATTTGTATCCGCCAACCCCAAATTCCTATTCTGAAGCCCTAAGCCCCAGTGTGATAATATTTGGATGTGGGACCTTTGGGAAGTAATTAGTCTTAGATGAAATCATGAGAGTGAATCCCATGATTAGATTAGTGCCCTTATAAAAAGAGGAAGAGACCAGAGGCCCCCACTGCTCTCTCTCTCCTCCAAGTAAGGTTACAGTAAAAAAGGAGACATATGCAAAGGGCCAGAAAGAAAGCCCTCGGCAGACACAAGCTGTTGGCACCTTGATCTTAGACTTTGCAGCCTCCAGAACCATGAGGAATATATGACTATTGTTTTAGCCACCAATTGAAGATACTTTGTCATAACTATACGAAGACACTACCTGAGAATGACAAATCCAACCACCAAACTCATTACCTTATTCCACAAAAAGCCTGCTCCCCTTTCTCCTGTGTTCTCTCTTTCATTGAATATCACCTTCAGTCCTGTTGTCAAAAAAGGAAAGGTGGTAGACATCTTTGACACTTCCATCCCCTTGTCAGCATGCATACAAGTCATCACGGTGATATATCACCGCTGCCTCTGCCCCAGGTCTTCCTTCCATGAACCACCTAGCACCTCCTTCTGCTCACCACTGACTCTCACCTCACTTACTATCAAGTCTCTCAAACCATTCTCAACCTCCTTCTAAATCTGTCCTTTCTTCTCATTTGGTGCCCAAATCACAGTCACAGCAAATCTTAACTCCTTGAACACGCTTCATGTCACTTCATGTCCCAACTGCCCTTAGACAAAGTCTGAGTGCCTTAGGAACAGGAAGACCCTTTGTAATCAAGGTCTGCTTAATCACACTATTTCATCTCCTCTAATGCCCCTGGCCCCTCACTCAACCAAAAATAAACAAAAAATTGAAACAAAGAAAAACTATATTTCCATTTATGCTGAATTAGAATTGAGGCCTAATTTATGGCATTATTATTCTCTAGACAATTCTCTAGACAATTTATTTTCAATACAAAAAGCCCATCATAGATGATAACAATATAAAGTCAATCAACAAAAATCAAAATATAAATAATACATAAGTTGTAAATCTTCATTTGGGTGGATTTTTTCTGCACAACTGAAATGCCTGAGAGTCCTTCAGCTAAGAACTAAATTGAATTTGAGTTGAAAGATACCTTAGCATTTCTTTAGTAAATCTTTCCTTCATTAGCAAAGGCATTTGTTCATCGTACTGAAGACATTCGAGCTGTATTCAAAATCACAGATAATGTGTCAAAAATTATCTTTGCTTATTTGACTTGCAAAAATACCTTAAAAAATGACAATCACATTGAGAAAATCCTAAAGGAATGACAGTTTTCTCCTCTTCCTCCTCCTTCTTCTCCTCCTACCCCCTCATATCACTTGTTCCTTGTTACATTAACTAAAATAACTTTCTCAAATGTATCCTTCCTCCTCAATAATTCCTAACTTTCCATAAAGTTACTTGCAAGTTCTGCATCAGTACCTGCAATTTTCCCTCTGTATACTAATGTAACAAAAATCTTGTTCTCTTGGGGTGCAGGTGGCTCAGTCAGGTAAGTGTTTGACTCTTGATTTCAGCTCAGGTCATGATCTGAGGGTCATGAGATCAAGCCCCATGTTGGGCTCCACACTCAGTGGGGTGTCTACTTGGGATTATCTCTCCCTCTGTCCCTCACCCTCACCCTTGTCCACACCTTTCTCTCTCTCTCTCTCTCCTTCGCTGCCTCTAAAATAAATAAACAAAACTTTAAAAAATCTTTCTCTCACCAGAGGTATCAAACCATCCTTTGGCCATTGTGTAACCACGTCTTACCAAGTCTATCTGAATTCTGAAGTGAGACAATGTTTTTCAATTTCTGGTATGATGTTCAATAATCTCAAAGGTATTCTTTCTCCTATGTGAGTCTATCCACTTTCCTAAGCAACTCTGATTTTGTTCATCTCACTGGGATCTCCTCTTCAGCTGCTGTATTAGACAGTACTGAATATACATTTTTATCAAAGCTGTTAGTACTACACATTCATTTATTCAACAAAGATTTATTATTATACCTTCTTTGTGTCAGGCACTACACTATACCAGACATCTGAGATACATTAGTGGACAACATAAACAAAAACTTCTACCCTTGAGGGGCAAACAGACAATAGCTCAACGTATAAACACATTTATCAACATAAATTATATAGCCCATTGCAAGCAATAATTACTATGAAAAA